TAAGCTCTCTTATAATTCTTAAATACTGTAATTTTTTTTATTATTACAATTTGAAAAAGTAAAATCCAAAATTGAAAATATTCATGACATCTTTCCTCTCTTCACCCAAATTATCCAACTTTCATCCTCACCAATTTACCAGATTTTTCATCTCTCTATCCAATTATACCAGACTTTCATCTCTCTATCCAGTTTTACCAGACTTTCATCTCTCTATCCAATTATACCAGACTTTCATCTCTCTATCCAGTTATACCAGACTTCACTCTCTACCCAAATTATAGCTTTTTTCCTCTCTCTATCCAGCTATACCAAACTTTCATCTCTCTATCCAATTATACCAAACTTTCCTCTCTCTCTGTCCAATTATACCAGACGTTTATCTTTCTATCCAATTATACCAGACTTTCCACTCTCTATCGAATTATACCAGACTTTCCTCTCTTTATCCAATTATACCAGACTTTCTCTCTTTATCCAATTATACCAGACATTCCTCTCTCTATCTAATTATACCAGATTTTCCTCTCTCTATCCAATTAACCAGACTTTCCCTTCTATCCTTTATACCAGATTTTTCTCTTTTATCCAATTAACCAGACTTTCCTCTCTCTATTCAATTATACCAGATTTTCCTCTCTCTATTCAATTATACCAGACATTCCTCTCTCTATTCAATTATACCAACTTCCTCTCTCTACCTTTACCAGACTTTTCTCTCCTTATCCAGTTATCCCGTTTTTCCCTCTCTTAATCCAATTATATCAATTTTTTCTCCTCTCTATCCGTTTTTTCTGTTTTTCCTCTTCTAATTTTCTCTAGGTTTCCCCCATCTTCATCAAATTTTTTCCTTAGATTTTACAATCGTACTTGCAAAACCTGTATTTATGGAGGTTTATGAGATTTACTTTATGATAAATTAATTTTCCAATTAACTTAGTTTTAAACGATGCTTTTTTCCCCTCCTTCGCTCCTCTTTCCTTTACGTACACCGGGCCTTTCCCCCTCTCCCTCTTTCATTGCCCAGGTTCCCCTCCTCACTGAGCATGGATCACCGGGGTCTAGGTCAGGGTCCAGGCACGTTCCGCCTCGCCAGGTCTGCAGAACTTCAGGTCAAAGGGGAGCAGCATTGCAAACTTGCCGGGCACTGAAGGGTTTGGGGGAGTGATTGGTTTTGTTGACACACCGTTCAGATTAGTTTAAGTGCGGTCTTTCGATCCATTTTATCAATGGAAACCGTATTGGTAGGTTCAGGTGCGGCCACTCGTATATCACTTCTTATAACGGAATCTAAAATTTTGATGGGGTTTTGGAAAATTCTTTACAACGTTGAAAAAAACAAAAACGACAATATGTATCCCTGCTCACTTTTTTTCTTATAGAAACGAGACACGATGGAAAAATTTATTGACAACGTTCGCTAGGCAGTGGGTTTTTACAAGCCCAATATTTTGTCCACGCAGAGGTTTTTTTTTCTATTCACTTTTTTAATGACTTAGAAAAAGCCTATGCGTGAGGAAACGCTGGTGATAAGAAATTTCATTTCATACATTTGTGTCTAAAATCCATTTTGAAACCCGCCCACAAAGGCCCCGGGCCCTACAGTGCGCTTCTTTCTAATGTTTAGGGTCGGTGTTTAATTAAAACTTCTCTCCATCATTAGACCCAGGGGAAAACACCACAGGGTTTTGGAGCTGTAGCCAGATTTAAAAAAACTGCCCCCCATTATTGGGTCACTGGTATAACCAATTTCAACTCGAAGATTAAAACATAATGACCGTTTTGTATTTAATTGATGAAACATTTTTCCAACAGTAGGCGATACAAAACTGTTGACATGTGTCTTAATTTCAACTTTTCAATTTTATACCATTCCAAAAACACTTTCGCCCCCGTGCATCTCCTTGAGGGGTCACCAAAAAGGTCCTGTACAATAAGAGCCATGTCAGGGCGCTTTTTCATGACTGTGAATAGACTAATAACAAAGGGAAATTTTCCTAAGGAATACTCCATACATGTTTCCCCGCCTGCATTACCAGCACTTTGTGCTTTTTCCTTTCTGAAGACCGTTTTGACTAATTTGCTTCCTGAGCGTCTATTATAGCAACAGTAATGCGTTACCCAAGGGGAGTGGAATAAATCACTAGTGGTACTGCATTTCTATGCCTCATTTTATGAAGAGAACCCATTAAATGATAAACAGTTAGATGAGTTCTGTCAGATCGTCCCATGAGATCCTGTAAACACAAAGAATAAAAAGGGACAATGAAATCACTGGAACAATACAAAATAGAAAAGTGAAACTTACGACTACGTTTCGGGCCCACTTGGACCCTGAACTAGCACACCCATAAACCCAGTGACAGGTGCCTTGTGCAAGTAGGACATTTTCCGCCTCCCCGTTCTTTATTTTATTTTTAGACAAGTCAGCTATGATAATTTAAGAAATAGTACAGTGAAAAATTTCTGCCCCCAAAACAACTCTTTGGCGATATGATGGAACGTGTTAGGAAACTATTCTGATCTCTCTGCGTTGGTGGCAATGACCACAATTGAATAAAACAAGAAGAAAAGAAAGAAAAGAAGAGAAGGAAAGAAAGAACAAGAAAAATAAGGAAGGAGAAGCAAGAAATATGACTACATATTCCTCTATTCGCGATAAAAGACGTTTTCTATGATAGATGAGAAACGTAGTTCTGTGTTGTCTATAACTGAAGAGTATCGAGGGGAAATATTTCTATTTGTTCTCCGGCCTATACAACAACCTCCTGCTGTGTGATCTCCCTGACAACGACTCTTACCTTGTTCAGCCTCTTCATTCTACAAAAGTAATTTCTAAGGGAAAATAAATTAAGCTTCTTTCTTTAATTACATTTTATTCCCCAAGAGGACTATTAAAGTTCCAAGTAAATAAGTAAGTTTATTTTAGGTACAGGTACACATAAGTAGAGTTATCAATACATAGCAACATATGTGTAAATTACCCAAAATACCAACATATGTGTAAATTTACCCAACAAAAGTCAGAGAGATTTATTTCCCAAATCTTTGTTGTTTCTCTCACTAATATTTTAAGGTACTATATATTTATTTCCTGATTCTTTGCTAGTCTCTTTTTCGTTTTAATTTATGGTTTTTATAATTCAGTTGATGATCTCATTTAAGACAGTTCAAAAATACATTTACGTGTAGAAGATAAAGATTTCCTTTAGATTATTAGTCCCTGAAGCATTGAAAACTAGTAATAACCAAAGAAACCCGACGAAAGTAGCGATTAGAAAAGTCATCACCCAAAAGAAAGTTGAAAGAAAATTTGGACAGATGCGTTTCCCCAGATTAGCGTTACGTGGGGCCCCAATGTGAGGTAATCAGTGTGTCTTGGGTTGATATAATGATTTTGTTCATTTTCCGCTACGTGAGGCCACATTTAAAATAATACAGTGATACCTAGGCTGATGTTGTGATTACAATGAGGGTGATATGAAGAAAAAGGGGAATTTCCTTTTTAGGGGCGTGCAAAATTTCTCGTGGGGGGGTATGTGATTTAGCCATAAGAAGTTTGAAGGGATATAGGTTGAGGGGATGTGAACTAAATTGGAAAACTTTCCCAACGGAAAAAAAAAAAATATTTATCATAAAAACAAAAAGTGGGGGCCCCCCCTTTGAACTTGAGGCCCCAAACAAGGTTGGGTTTAGATATCGTTTGTCAGGAAACGGACAAGTGTTTCCTACGCGAGTTTAGTCTATGATGACTAGCCATTGGCGGTTTTCCATCTGACCGAGGCTTTTGCAAGTAGCTCTCCGACCTCCGTCCCAGGGATCTGTTTTTTCCCCTTTCTCCCACCATCACACTCTTCCCCTACTCTTCACCCCCCACACCCACCTCTTCATTCTTTTTCCATTACATATTATAGGCCCCCCAAATTCTCACAAATGTTAACTTTTCATCTCCATTACTCATCGCCCTTCTCAAAACCCAGTCATTCACGGACAAACACCTTAGTGGCCAGGTCTCTACTACACGCCCGGGGCCACTGGTCTGTGACTGGGCCTCCGGGATGACAGCCCGCATCACTTGGTCCTTAACAAAATAATCCATGGGGAAGCCGTCTCTATTGTCACCAAAATAATCTACTACACTAATACAGCTACTACTACACTACGCTACTACTACTGCTACTACTACGCTACACTACTAACTGCTACTACACTGCATACACTACTACGACTACTATACTACTACAGCATACACTACAGCTATATACTGCTACTACAAAACAGCACTACTACTAAAGCTACTACACTATACAGCTGCTACTACACTACTACAGCTACTACAATACTATTTACACACTACACTACTACTAAGCTACTAAACTGCTACTACTACAGCTACTACACTACGCTGCTTACTACTACTACTAAGCTATACTACTACTATACAGCTATACTACTACTATAGCAACTACTCTACTACTACTTACCACAGTACATTCCCAAACCCCACCACCACTATTACTATTTCTGCTATTATTGCAATTATAGTTCAAATGTTGCTGCTGCTACTACTACTACTACTACTAAATTAAAATACCCCCACCACCACCACTACTGCGACTACTACTACTACAACTAATAATAAAAAAATAAAATAATAATAATAATAAAAATAAAAAAATAATAAAATAATAATGGTAATAATAAAAAATTTATAAATAATAATAATAATAACAGTAATAATATAAAAATAATAAAATAAAAATAATAATAATAATAATAATAATAATAAAAAAATAATAAAATTAAAAATTAATTCTAAAACATAAAAGCTACTATTAATTTTAATAATAGTAATTTTCAATAATTTGACCAGGGAAAATAAAATTAAGTGTAAAATATGTTTATGATTTTTAATAAAAAAAATTTATTTGAAGATATAAACATTTTTATACAAAGTTGTTTTAAACTTACGTCTCTAATTGATTGTAGTAACAAACGAT